CAGTAGATAGTTGTATGTCATAGTTGCACATCCTTCTAGTTGCTGTATGTGGGACGCAGCCTCAGCATGGCCGGAGAAGCAGTGCGTCGGTGCACGCCCGGGATCCGAACCTGGGCCGCCAGCAGTGGAGCGCGCGCACTTAGCTGCTAAGCCACGGGGCCGGCCCTATTTATCTTTTCATTGTCAATTTTTATATATCTTTTTTGATGTGTTGGATTGGTGCTCTGCTTGTGAATCTATATATTCAGCCTAAGATGTATTATTGAAAACAAGTGATCTTGGTTCCATTTCTAGTATTGACAAGTCTAAGGAATAACTCTGGCTATCTTCCTAAATTTCTCTATGTGCCTTTCTTACCTACAAGTTAGAATTAAATAATAAGAATTGACGACATACCATAAACACATACATGGCAAGTCTGCTCATGTGATTTCCTAATATTAGCTAATGTTAGTTCAGTCTAGAATTTTGGAGATGTAGAGGGCCTGGAGATAAATTCTGTAGCCCAACACTCAGATTTTACTAGGGAAAAAACTAAAGTCCCCAAGAAGTTATGCAAATTGCCCTCAGTCCTACTACTGGGGGTGACAGAACTGGAAATAGAATGCTGGTTTCCAGTCTACTTGCGTGATATCCTTTCTACTAAAACGCAACAGGTTCTGACATTGGAAACTTTAAAAAAAAATAAGAGAGACAAATGAATCATGAAGGAAATACTGTCTTTTGGAAAACACTGTAAGCAAAAATTTCTCAGTTAAAAATCAAATTACAAAGGGAGTACCAATGTTTCATAGAACACTCTGAACAGGAAAGTCTACCGAGTCTCTTATAACTCTCAAGTGGCATCCTCTTGATTAAATTTCTCAGTGAAATTGTATAGGGTTAGAAAATCCCACAGTGCTATGAGCAGACATGTTGAGAATCAAACTGAGGAGCTTAGAGGTTCAAAGTGTTTGCTGAATGAATGAATGAATGAGTGAATGAGTGAGTGAATGAAGTTCTTCCAGCTACTGAACCCCACACTCCAGCCTACAAGAAAGGAATGGATTTCCTCACTTTCCTTGGAAACGGAATTTACTTCTCTTCCTGCTGTAGGTCCCAAATTAAATAACCATTAGTTCCTTCAAAAATCTGGAAAGACTACTAGTCAAACCACAGAAACATCAAATTACAGACAACATGCTGGAAGTTTTATAATAACAAATATTATTAGTAGGGAGCTTCATCTATAATTTCCTCTAAAGGATATGATTATCACACAGACTAAACAGGGCCGAAGAGAAGAAACACTCCACACTGACAGCAGCCGGGGGAGTGCATCTGTGGAGTCACCAAGTGAGCAGTTGGTCTGAAGCTCTGGCCACGCCCCGCATTTCAGGGCCCTCACAGGCAGTCAGGGACTGGACGGGTATTCCAAAACCCAGATGAACCGACTGCCACGAACAACAGGAAGCAGGCCAGCCTTGCAAGAGGATGTTGAAACAAGTTCATATAAAGCACGGGTGAATTTTTCAAATCAATTTAAGCTTCTTCCTCCAATATACAGTCTCTTTTTTTTCATAACATCAAAAGAATCAGATTTTAGTGACTTAAAAGAAGGCTCTCTCTCTAGGTTTTTCACACTTGAATATTTCCACAGTCAAACAAAGAAATACCTAAGAACATGAAAGCTCAGCCTCCCCAATAACAACCAACTTGAAACTCGACTGGAATTCAAAGCCGGTAACACTACCACCAGCTTAATTACAGTTGATTTAAACAATTCCTTTCTTTTGAGTCAAGAGTCGACATTAACTGGGATTTTATCATGAAGTATTTAAACCAGTATTAGGAAACCCCGAAAGGTACTCTTAAAAATTAAACAAAATTAATTAAAAATTTCTTACTTCTTTTGGACTGAATTTATTTTTATAATACTTCATTTAAAACTGCTTGTTTTGTCTATCTGACCAAGCTTTAAATGAACATGCCACTTTGTATTTACATTTCAAGTCTAGTGAACGCCAAACAAATCTGCATGACGTGGCTTCTTATCTGTGCACTCTTTCTAAGCAGCACAGAACTGGAGCAACATTTACCTACCCACTTCATGCTCAGGATGTTCACACTGTAAATCCAGAGTCAACAGTTCATTAAAGGAATCATCAAGAGCATAAAATTGTCCATAAAGTGTTGACTTCTGCTATACAGTTGATTTCTTCTAATTTGTCCTTATCTTTATTTCCAGAAGGAAGATATTGCTAAAAGTGGCACTCATAGGTCAAGTGATCACATAAATCATCCAAACTCGGTCATTTCTGCGAGTGAAAGGGGGTGCTGTAAATAATTAGGCCAGGACCACAGGTGCTAACTGGGCTGTCTCAGGGAAATCCAGACATGTGGCCACCTTACCTCTCGGAGTCCAAGCAAGAGCTCAGATTTTCATTTTTAGGCCCTTTCGAGGGTCTTGGAAAGGCCCCCAAGGAAAAGGACCTGTTCAGCCAAAGTCCTCGGGTGCCATGTTCTACATGCTCCTACCTTCCATGGCATCGCATACCCTCACTTACCCGACCACCATGTCCTTGGGTCCAGCAGTTACAGTGCAGATCCCATCCTCACAGTGTTTTCCCACCAGGCTGTGTGCATGCAAGTGGATGTTTTTTCCATTCGTGACCAACTGAACAATAACCTTTGCAGGTCCCACATAGTTGCAGATCTATTAAGAAGCACATTTCAAAAGTTAGTACATCTGATCATACTGCAACACAGAAAAATGCTTATGACAAGGCAGTAAGTATAAAAAGTATGATACAAAATTAGGAATACCTGTACACATATGATCACAGCTCTGTTCTCAAAAATATGTGATGAACAAATGATGAGATGGAAATAAAATGCTAATAGTGGTCATTTTGTGTGTGAAGGATATACTGCAGGAAGAAGATCACTTATATAATACAATATGCATTGTTAAAGTTGGAACAGCACATCTCGGAGGATGCTGTGTAGCCATGAAGGATCCCCTTCAAGAACACATTTTCATCTGCACCCTCATCACAATTTTCAGTCATAAAACCTGGGTAAAAGATCTGAGAGAGGGGAATTGAGATTGATGGATTATGGAAATTAAGGGAAGGAGAGAGGTGAGCAGAAACAGTGCATCCTACGTCTCTGCCTTGAGAGTGGGCAGGAGAGAGTGTCTTGCCAGGGACCTGGCCCTGAAGGTCGGCCACGGACAGCTGAGCCCACAGACCTGGGCTGCAGTGATCTGCTAGGACCCTTCAGCCTTTGGCAGCACTGTGCTATGAGCTTTGATAACTGAGTTACATGTGCCCAGGTCATAGTAAGTTTCTTCAGGTGAAATATGTGCACTCCCTAAGTGCAGATCCTTAGATTTGACACCTGTTTAGCTTTGTTTTGTAAAATCAGATTTTTCCATTTAAGGTAATTTATATTTTTTATTGTTATGCCTTTAAAACGATGACAACAGCAATAAAGACGAAATAGCATGGAGATAACGACATTTTAAGCACAGATAGCTTAGACATCCTTTCTCCTCTAGTTGATCCTCCAGCCCCCTAGAGTAGATCACAGATTCCTTCCTTGAGAAAGCCCCAACACTAAAATCATACCAACAGAAAAGACCAATGGCCTTATTTTTACCTTCCTGACTCCTATAAATCAGAACCCTGTGATAAATTCAGCCTGACTGTTGGAAATGCACTACCTCCCCTCAAAAGGTTACCAGACATCCTGGTCTGCCTGGGACTAAGGGGGTTTCTTGGGACACAGGACTTTTAGGACTAACACTGGGAAGAGATGGCCATCCTATCTCCTTAGCTTACACCATCTCTTTTTGAGGAAGTGCATCCAGAATCATTAGAAATACTTTAATCTGCACAAGTAGCCCTTAGCTCAAAAGGAAAAGAAAGTAGACAGGAATCCCATCTAGCCATGAATCCTTGATGGAAGTCTTCCTGATACAAACCTAAGGAAGAACCTACTCTTGCCAACAAGGGATTCTTGGAAACAGAATCCCTTTCAACCAGTTGACTTCTACTATAAATCATTAAATGGATTCATATTCCATTGAGGCAGGGTTTTGTCAGGATTTTTTCAGTCTGGATTTTTTCCCAATCCAATCTCTCATTGCAAGAGTTGAGGGAAGTTGATCAGAGCTGGGATCATTCCCCAGAGGGTCCTGAGGGAGAGAAGTTTGTCCCCTGAGCAAAGGACAGACTCCCCTCTAATCAACAGTGTGGCACCACCAGAAACCTCAGGGCCTCCCTGCCTGAACCTTGGCTCAGAGCTGCTGCACAAGTTTGCTTCCCAGCCTTCCAACACCCCTTCTCAAGGAGTGGGGCTACCTACAGGAGTGGCCTCCAGTCCTTGCAGAGCGAACTAATCACAAAGAACGTTTAGGATTAAATTAGGTTTCGACCATCTCAAAGCACAAATAAATAAATTCTTAAACAGGTATAGCACTTAAAAAAGCCCTCTGGACATAAAACTAATTACGAACTTAGTGCTTTACTTTTTATAACAGGCGTAAAGCCTCTGCCCTTCAGGACAGGACAGGGAATGAAAAGTTCTGGGTTTGCTCCAAAGTTGGGGTTGCCCCCACACTCCCGGGATCGCTGATGCCAGTTCTGTGCGTTGGTGTGGACGTCTGAACTCAGTCTTTGTTATGACGACACACTTACAGGACTTCTTCAGCAGTACACGGACAGTGGAAGAGTGCTAAACAGACCACGCCATTTCACTTGTAAGTGCACTGGGCACAGGAATGCACCAGTGGAAGGTGTGATGAAATGCTTCCCTTGGGTGAAATCAGGTGGGCTTTCTGCTTCACCAGGACCCCAAAAGGAATCCGGCGATTAAAGCCCAATCGCTTTGGATACTGGACCCTTCAACGTCACCACTATGAGGGAATCAGTCACTGGCACTGAAGGACAGAGGTGGGCGGTATCCTCAAAGAGCACTCACATCTTTCTCTTGCTATTACTTCATGGTCGAAGGGTGGTGAGAATGAGGAACCGGGGAGTCTCTGAGGTAAGAACCTGAAAAATTTGCCAGTGACTAATGTGCTGTTTGATCCATTTGAAACAGTTCAAGTCAGCATGGCATCATCTGGTTTTTACACAGACCACAGGGCAACGAGAGGGAGGGCCCTGGGTTTTGTGGACTTTCCAAAATACTGACTGAAAGAAGAAAGCTGAAGTGTGGGGACAGAAAAAAAAAATACTATTTTCAGGTTATACGGCAAATGAAGACAATGGAATTCTAACTTAGGGGAGGGTGTACTTCATAAAATGCCATGATGACTGAGAGATATGTGCAACTGATTCAGAAATTCATTTGTTCTATGGAGAACTTGATTATGTTTACTCAGCTTTCCTTTTACTTCCTTGTACAGTGGTTCCCTTGAAAATTAAGTTTATAGGAAGCAACCATATCTGCCGGAAAGTTGGGTTATTTTTGAAAGAGTCTGAATACAGGAGTCTTAATAAACATTAATGGCTTCAACACAAGGTAAGCTTTCAATTAGAGCCAAGGAGACAAAGGTGACAATTAGGGAAATCAGTTACAAGCGACACTGTTAAGAGCATGTATATGAGGGGCAGACTAGCTGGGTTTGAAGACAGTTCCACCATTTACTAGCTGTGTGACCTTGGGCAGTGTTCAGTTCCTCATCTGTAAAATGGAAATAATAATAGGACCTCATAGGTTTGTTGGAAGGATTAAAGACATTAATGCATTGTAAAGTCTTTAGAACACTGCCCAGTAAATAGAGCACACAAGTGTGAACTATTATCTTATTTATTACTGTAATGTACTTCTCTACCTAGAGATCTTTTTTTTTTAATAATTTTTAATTTATTTTTTCCCCCAAAGGCCCAGTAGATAGTTGTATGTCATAGCTGCACATTCTTCTAGTTGCTGTATGTGGGACGCGGCCTCAGCATGGCGGAGAAGCAGTGCATCGGTGCGCGCCGGGGATCCGAACCCGGGCTGCCAGCAGCAGAGCGCGCGCACTTAACCGCTAAGCCACGGGGCCAGCCCTCTACCTAGAGATCTTTAAGTAATACAACTACCCTGAGAAGATTTTTCAAAAATCCTGTCTAAACGCAGGTGGCTGAAATAAATGACCAATTCAGGCCACTTCATTCCTAGGGTAAGTCTTTTTGCCAGAGTGCCATATTTTATTGGGCTTTGTTAATTTTCTGGTAATAATTATGTTTTTATAGTAACAGCTATCATTCTTGGGGGTGCTCAGGATTTCTTGGCTTCTTTGATGAAATTAAGCCTTTCTTCCAGGAGCTTTATGACTCAATACCTACTGATGCCCGCAGGCTGGATCTGCTTTTTGAATAAGAAACAGAAACCAAGGGTCTCAGATAATACCACACTTAGGCAAATCACCTCCTTTTATTTAAAACAACTCTGCCATGCTCTGGCAAAGTGCATACTGGTTCTTTAAAGGAAAAACTGATTAAGGGAAGTAGTCTAGAATTTTCTGGGAATCAGAATTTGAAATGTCCAGTTTACTTGCTGAGTAAAAATGACCAAATCACTTTGGCAGAATGTAGTCAACAAGAATGTAAGACGTGACACAAGAGGTAGCTCCTTTTTGCTCAGTTTTTCTCATGAAGTGATGATGATGATGATGATGATAATTGAAGAAGAAGAGAAGGAGGAAAAAAATCCACAATTTTCAAACAAAAATCTGTCCTGACTTGACTTGTGTATCTGCTGCTAAAGCAGCGGAGCAACGTGGTTACATCCAAGAGCTCTGAAGCCAGGCTGCTGGGCTCCAATCCCTCTGTTGCCACTTATTAGCTGAATCAACAGGGAAAGATGGTTAACATCTCTGCACATCAGCTTCTCCATCTTTAAAACAAAAGTAATAACACACTTGAATGCATAGTATTGTTTTTAAGGATTAAATGAGTTAATACCGTGCTTGGCACCTCATGGGATTGGCAATCTCAAATATAAACTCTCTCCGCTGTCCAGGCTATTACCTCACTGACAACCAAAACGTATCCATTTATTCCACGATTATTTTTTAGGCCCCTTCTACGTTCCAAGCACAGCAAGACGTCAGGGAGCGAAGGGATTCACAGTGAGTGCAAAATAGACACAACCCCTGTCATTATGGGATTTAAAGAGCGATTCTGAGACTAATCAAAGAATCTCACAAACAAATGTAAATGCATAACTGCTGAGCGCTCACAAGGGACAATTCCTGGTCAGGAGTCAGAGCAAGCTTCCTGAGGGAGAAATGCGGCCTGAGCTCTGAAAGAAGGGTAGGAGGTAGCAAGGGAAGGGGTGGGAAGGAGACAAGGGGTAAGAATAGCATTCCTGGGAGCAGAATCGAATGGACCAGGCTCTGGTGGGAGTTCTAGTCATGATCTCTCAGTCAGACTCATTCCCATTTCTCAGGTTTTCCTCAAATGGTTCCTGCCACCCCGGGGTGTCCCTTCCTTCTCTTCCTGGTCTAGAACCACCCATTTTTCAAGGGTAAGACCTGAATCTAAATCTCCCATGACACTCTTCTCACCACGTTAGCCCACAAAGCTCCACTACTGTCTCTTTTTTGGTGAATGTGACTGGAGTGGGGCAGGGAAACCACAGGCAACTTATTGCAACAAGGCGGTGAAACCAATTGTCAACTAAAAGGGTTATCGCCCTACCTCTCTTACTTGTTGGATT